TTGATCAAGCTAGTCTTTCCTGCCCATGAGACACAGTGAAGTACCCGTGCACCTAAGGAAAGCGGCATCCAACGAGGTAGTGGGTTTGGGTTGGGTCTGGGCACCAACCTCACATGTGGACAGAGCTCTCGAGGGTGTGGGACAAGTCCACATTCCATTAGCTTCATTCTTTTTTTCCCAGGGCTTCACTACTCCTTATTGGCCGCCATCTCCTCTATGTTGCAAATAGGATTCTCTCCTTTCTTGGCACACTATGGTAGGGTCTCAAACTCAGGAAACCCAAATCCCTTAAAAAATTGCCTACCAGAAATTGAGGGTGACAAATACACTAACAGGAAGAAGCGACTCTCCTATGAACTGACTTCCTTATACAACTCCATCAAAAAAGGATGCGGTTACCTACAAATGCTACAGTGAGAAGAACTGGAAACCCTGTTAAAAACACTCTGTATGGCCATGCAGGCTCCTGAGAGTAAATTCCACAAATGTCCATCTGTCTCCATGTTTTGTGTTTCCATTGTGTGCATGGGTTTGTGTAAATGTGTTGACAGAAGTGAGTACGGATGGAGATAGATGGATCTATTTGTGTATGTGCTTGTGTGTGTGTATAGCTCTATGCATACTTATGCATACATGTGTCTTTATGGATTTATAACTCACCTTTTACTGATAGGTGACACCAGGGCTGCTCCTTTACATTCACTGCTGTGTGAGCTAGAGGATGATAAAAGAATACAGTCAGCTAGGAGACATGATTCTAAATTCACTTTTTTGGAAAAATTAGCTTTTATGACTCTAGACAGAAACCAATTAATTTCTGTCAGGAAATCTGAGTCCCATAAAAAAAAAAAAAAACTGCTTACTAGGAACTAAGGGTGACAAATGCACTAACAGGAGGAAGTGACTCTCCTATGACCTGCTCCTCTTTATACAACTCCACCAAAGAAGGATGCAAAGTTACTAGCAAATGCTACAATGAGAAGAATTGGAAACTCCGTTAAAAAGAAATCTATATGCCCAGACAGGCTCCTGAGAGTAAGTTCCACAAACGTCCATCTGTCTCTTTTCTCCTTGTTCTAGGTTTCCGCCGTGTGCATGGATTAATTCGTGTACGTGTGTTGAAGAGAAGTGTGGATGGATGGATGGATGGATGGATGGATGGATGGATGGATATATTTGCTCATGTGCCTGTGTGTGTTTATAGTTCTATGCACACTTATGCTGATGGATGTCTTTATTTAACTATTTATTACTTACATATCATTCGTAAGTGTCTCGGTTGCTCCTTTAAATTCATTTGTCTGTGGATTAGCGGATGATAAAAGAATACAGTCAGATAGGAGGCATAATTCTGAATTTATATTTTGGAAAAATTACCTTTCATTACTCTAGACAGAAACCAATTAATCACTGACTATTCATGTGTATGGTACTATTGGAACATGGAATGTCTTTTTTCTTTATTAGAAATGAGGATTTATATGACAACAACCAAAATCATAGCCTGGGGAAAATAGTAATGCTTCGCAATTTAAGTCAACCTCTTTATTATGACCTCAGTCCCAATGTGTGACAGACTTTGTGACGACAGTAATTTCAAACTCAACTCAGTTTGTAGGTAGTCAGCCCTCTTATTCCATTCAATGTTCTGCTTCAAAGGCCCTCCATTAGCTCCTTACCTTCACCCAGCATGGTGGTTTCTCTAGTCCCATAAAAAGGGTTAGGTAATTAGAGGTCTGACACAGAAGCGCAATCCAAATAGGATGGCGATTTGAGGTTTGGAGCTCCAGCTTCCGTGGTGGCAGAGTTCTGGAGGGTGGAGAACAACTCCAAGGCTCTTAGCTCTGTTGCTTTCTGCTGAGGGCTTCACAGTTCCCCGTGAATTCCTACCTCCTCCTTGCTCCAAACAGGATTCTCTCTTCCCTTGGCCCCCACTCTGGTATTTCTCATACACAGAAAATCAGAGTTTCCAAAGCATTTGACTGCTACTAACAAATGATGAAAAGACAGTAACAGACAAGAGCCTCTCTCTGTAGTCTGTTTCTTTTTTTCTAAACAACTGTAAAAATGTGGAAGTTATCTATGCGTGATACAGTGAGACGACAAAGAAAGAAACTGTATCAGAGACACTCCCTGTTATCCTGAACACTTCTGAAAGTGAATCTCACTAATCTCAGTCTCTTTCCCTGTCACTGTTTGTGCGTGTGTGTGTGTGTGTACACATCTTATTTATTTATTTCTTTATTGTAACAAAGTTTCGCTCCTGCTGCCCAGGGTGGAATGCAGTGGTGTGGTCTTGGCTCACTGCAACCTCCACCTCCCCCGGTTCAAGTGATTCTCCTGCCTCAGCCTCCTGAGTAGCTGAGATTAGAGGCGCCTGCCACCACACCTGGCTAGTTGTCGTAGTTTTAGTAGAGACAGGGTTTCACCATGTTTGCCAGCCTTGTCTCGAACACCTTACCTCAGGGTATCTGCCTGCCTCGGCCTCCCAAAGTGCTCAGATTACAGGTGTGAACCATTGCATCTGGCCATGTGCATCTTTTATAACTCATCTGTCACTGGGGCTTCTCTCAATGATGACTCCCTCTAGGGCATTTGGATTGGGACTAAAGGACAAATATGGTCAGAGTCAGACACAATGCATAATTGTAATGTTTTGCAACAAATAGCCAGTTAGACTATGCGTTATTCCCCAGTTACACTGTAATTATTCACATGTATGTACATCACTAAATTGACCTGGGATGGCATTTGTTTTTTATTAGAAATGAGGTTTTATACACCAACAGTGAGTATCTTAGGCTTTGAACATAGTGATGCATCCAGATTAAGTAAGGGCATCTACACCTCAATGTGTAGCAGCATTTCTGGAGAGCATTTAATTCTAGTTCAAATTTAGTTTGTAAGTTCCTCTTCTTATAATTGCATCTGAGTTCCTCATTCTCTATGACGTCCAATCAGCTCCTCACTTTTCACCCATCCTAGTTGTCTTTCCTGACCAAGAGTTGTGGCCAAGTAGCTACAGGCCTCAAGCAAGGGCTCCATCCCATGTGAGGGTGGCTATGGGCCAAGGCAGTCAGCCTCACATAAAGGCAGAGCTCAGGAGGGTGTGAAATAATGCCAGGGTTGTTAGTTCTGTTCTTTTCTTTGGCTGGCATTTCTCTGATCTTTGTCCACTCCTATCTTCTTCTCACTCCAAGTAGGATTCGCTTTTCCCTTGGTCCACGCTACTAGTACAGTCTCATTCTCACAGAAAGCAAATGTGACAAACACTAACATAAAAAGCCTACCTCTATGAGTTCCTCCCCATTTTCCTACCTCCATCCAAAAACCAAAAGAATATTCCATACAAAGCTCATTCTGAGAGGACTCTGGAAATAGTTTCCAGGGAACTCCTTGTTCCCTTGGATGCTTGTGACAGTCAATAGCCCAACTCAATCTCTCTGTGTGTATGAATGCATGTATATGTGTGTTTGTTTATGCATAGATACATGTATAACCGTATTCCTTTATATCACATGTTGCACTGGCCAGCCTACTAGAAGATACTCCCAATTCACACCTAGGGCAGTACCAAATAACTTAAAATGTACATACTAAGACAACATGTAACTTCCCAAACTTAACGTTTTCAGTTCAAAATAGTTCCAATTGCTTTTGTTTTTTCTTTTTGTTTTTTGTTTTGTTGTTGTTGTTGTTTGTTTTTTGCGACAGAGTCTTGCTCTGTCACCCAAGCCAGAGTACAGTGCCACAATCTTGGCTCACTGCAACCTCTGCCTCCCAGGCTCAAGCAATTCTCCTGCCTCAGCCTCCCAAGTAGCAGGGACTACTGGTGCCGCCACCAGGCCAGGCAAATTTTGTATTTTTAATAGAGATGGGCTTTCACCAAGTTGGCCAGACTGGACTTGAACTCCTGATCTCATTATCCACCCACCCTGGCCTCCCAAAGTGCTGGGACTACAGGCCTGAGCCACCACACCCAACCTACCAACTACTTTCAACCTGTAAACTGCCCTACCCTTACAGAAGTCATGTGTGTATTTGGTTCTTTGGAATCTGCCATGCCATTTACCCTACACGTCATACTTTATATGATTGCAGCACATACTTTACACCTATCTGAGACTCACTGACTCAAGAGTTCACCAAAACTCTCTACCAATGGAGCTGGCCAATCCTCGATGCCTTTTGTGGGTGAATTTCTTTTAAATTCAACTCCACTGTATAGGCATTCCTCCCTCTCATCCCATCTATGGCCCACTTCCTGGATCTCTCCATCACGTCTTTCCTTTCACCCATCGTGCTAGTCTTTCCTGTCCAGGAGACACAGGCAAGTAGCTGTGGGCCTAAGGAAGGGCTGCATCCAATGAGGTGCTATGCTTGTGTTTGTGTTGTAGCACCAACCTCAAATGTTGACAGAGCTCTGGAGTGTGAGGGACAAGTCCATGTTCCATTGGCTCCATTCTTTTCTTCCCAGGGCTTCTCTGCTCCTTGTCAGCTGCTATCTCCTCCATGTTGCAGACAGGATTTTCTCCTCCCTTCTGTCAATCTCACAGGCTCTCAAATTCAGGAAATCTGAGTCCTTTAAGAAGTTGCTTACTAGGAACTAAGGGTGACAAATACACCAACAGAAAGCAGCAGCTCTCCTGTGACCTGCTCCTTTCTATATGAGTCCATTAGAAAAGGATGCAAGGTTACCTACAAAGGCTATGATGAGAAGAATTCGAAACCCTTTTAAAAACCACTCTCTATGGTCATACAGGCTTCTCAGAACAAACTCCACAAATGTCCGTCCACCTGTCTCCTTGTTGTATGTTTCCATTGTGTGCATGGGTTGCTAGTGGATGTGTGCTGAGAGAAGTGTGTATGGATGGACGCATGGATGGATGGATGGATATATTTATGTGCCTGTGTGTGTGAAAACTTCTATGCTCACTTATAATTAGATAAATAAAGACATACGTATGCATAACTCACCTTTCATGGATACGTGCCTCCGAGTTCGTGCCTGATAATTCATTTGTGGGTGGACTGGAGGATGACAAAAGAACACAGACAGGAGATACAACTTGAAATTCACTTTTCTGGTAAAACTCGCTTTCATTACTCTGCCCATAAACCAGTTAAGTTCTGACTATTCATGTGTATAGCACTATTTGGTTCTGAAATGTCATTTTTTATTAGAAAGGAGGATTTATACGATGGCAACCAACACCTTAGGCTGGGGAAAATAGTAATGCTTCCAGATTTAAATAAATCTCTTTGTTATGACCTCAGTCCCAATGCGTGGCAGCCTTTGTGGTGACAGTTATTTCAAACTAAACTTTTGTGTGGAGGTAGTCGGCCCTCTTATTCCACTAAATATGCTGCCTCAAAAGCTCTCCATTACTTCTTTACTTGATCGCCTGTCTTGGTCTACAAGTAGGGTAAAGTAACTGCAGGTCTGAGTCAAGGACACAGTCCAATGTGATGGTGTTTGGGGTTTGGAGTATCACCCTGTATTGTGGCAGAGTTCTGCAGGGTCAAAAACATTTCTAGGGTTGTTAGCTTTTTTCTCTTCTTCGGAGGTCTTCCCTACTCTCTGTCCCCTGCTATCCTTTTCTGTTTCCAAAGAGGATTCTCTGCTGTCCTCAGCCATCGTAGTAAGGTCTCACATATAGGCAGTCTGAAAATTATTTTTGATTGTTACTCAGAGTATCAAACAGACTAGTAAGAAAAATCATCCTTCTTATTATGTGGTCATCTTTTATCTAAATTCATTCAAGAAGGCATAAAGGCTCAGCCAGAATGGGTGGCTCCCCAGCCCCACAAAGAGTGAAGTAACTAGAGGACTGACACAGAAGCACAATCCAACAGGACAGTGATTTGAGGTTTGGAGCTCCAGCACCCGTGGTGGCAGAGTTCCGGAGGGTGGAGAACACCTCCAAGGCTCTTAGCTCTGTTGCTTCCTGCTGAGGCTTCACAGTTCCTGAACATTCCTACCTCCTCCTTGCATACAGAGAGGATTCTCTCTTCCCTTGGCCCACTCTGCCATGTCTGTACACAGAAAATCAGAGTTTTCAAGACATTTTCACTGCTACTAACAAATAGTGAAAAGACAGTAACAGACAGAAGCCTCTCTCTAGTCTCTTTTTTTCTAAAAAACTGTAAAAATGTGGAGATGATTATCTGCTCATTGATACAATGAGGCGATCAAAAAACCGATGTCAAAAGACACTCTGTATTATCGTGAACACTTCTGACAGTGAATCCCACTAATCTCAGTCTCTTTCTCTGTCACTGTTTCGTGTGTGTGTGTGTGTGTGTGAGTGTGAGTGTACATCTTTCTTCTTTTTGTCTCTTTTTTTTTTTGCGACAGTTTCACTCCTGCCCAGGGTGCAATGCAGTGGCATGGTCTCAGCTCACTGCAACCTGCACCTCCCCAGGTTCAAGCCATTCTCCTGCCTCAGCCTCCCGAGTAGCTGGGATTAGAGGCACCTGTCACCATAGCTGGATAGTTATTGTAGTTTTAGTAGAGATGGGATTTCACCAGGTTTGCCAGCCTGGTCTTGAACTCCTGACCTCAGGGTATCTGCCTGCCTCGGCCTCCCAAAGTGCTCAGATTACAGGTGTGAACCACTGCACCTGGCCATGTGTACATCTCTTATAACTCACCTGTCACTGGGGCTTCTCTCAATGATGACTCCTCAGGGCATTCGGATCGGGACTAAAGGACAAATATGGTCAGAGTCAGACACAAGGCACCATCACTAATGTTTTGCAACAAATAGCCAGTTAGTCTATGGCTATTCCCCAGTTACACTTTAAGTATTCCATGTATATACGTCACTAAATTGACCTGGGATGGCATTTGCTGTTTATTAAGTAAGGGTTTTAAATGCCAACAGTATACGCAGGCTATGAACACAGCGATGCATCCAGATTAAGTAAGGGTAGCTACCTCCAATGTGTAACAGCATTTTCTGCAGAGCATTTTAATTCCAGTTCAAATTCAGTTTTGTAGAGTCCCCCTTCCTTATAATCCACCTGAGTTTCTCATTCTCTATCACCTCCAACTTTGCTACTCACTTTTCACCCCTCTAGTTGTCTTTCCTCTCCTAGAGTTGTAGTAAATGTCTTGCAGGCCTCAGAAACTGAGGCTCCATCCATGAGGGTGGGTATGGGCCAAGGCAGTCAGCCTCACATAAGGCAGAGCTCACCGGAGGTGTGAAACAATTCCAGGGTTATTAGATCTGTTCTTTTCTTTTCTGAGTTTCTCTGAGCTTTGTCACTCCTATCTCCTTCTTGCTCCAAGCAGGATTCGGCTTCTCCTTGGTCACGCTACTAGTACAGTCTCATTTTCACAGAAAGAAATGCTGACAAACACTAACATAAAAGAGCCTCCCTCCTATGGGTTTTTCTCCCCATTTCCTACCTCCATCCAAAAAACAAAAAGAATATTCCATACAAAGCTCATTCTGAGGACTCTAGAAATAGTTTCCGGCAACTCCTTTGTTCCACTGGATGCTTGTGACAGTCAACAGCCCAACTCAATCTCTCTTGTGTGTATGAATGCATGTATGTGTTAGTACTTGTACTTAGATACATGTATAACTGTATTCTTTACATCATGTAGCACAACCTGCTAGAGATACTCTCGATTCACACACAGGGCAGTGCCAAGGGCCTAAAATGTATGTGGTAAGACAACATGTAACTTCCTACATATAACATTTTTCAATTCATAATAAATTCCACTACTTTTATTTTAGTTTTGTTTGTACATTGTTGTTTTGTTGTTTGTTTTGAGACAGTCTCGCTCTGTCACCCAAGCTGGAGTACAGTGCCTGATCTCGGATCACTGCAAACGCTGCCTCCCAGGTTCAAGCAATTCTCCTACCTCAGTCTCCCGAGTAGCAGGAACTACAGGCACTCACCACCATGCGTGGCTAATTTTGTACTTTTAGTAGCGATGGGGTTTCACCACCTTGGCCAGGCTGATCTTCAACTCCTGATCTCGTTATCCACCTGGCCTCCCAAAGTGCTGGGATTACAGGCGTGAGCCACCATGCCCGACCTTCCAACTACTTTTCAACCTGTAAACTGCCTTATCCTTACAAAAGTCATGTGTGTATTTGGTTCTTTGGAACCTGCCATGCCATTTACCCTACACACATCATATGCTTACATACGACTGCAGCACATAGCACCTGCTTCTCTAAGACTCACCAACTCAGAGTTCACCAAAACTCTCTCTATCACTGGGAGCTGGCCAATGCCACAACAGCCTTTTGTGGGTGAATTTCTTTTCGATTCAACTCCACTGTGTAGGCATTCCTCCCTCTAATCCCATCTATGGCCCACTTCCTGGATCTCTCCATCACCTCTTTCCTTTCACCCATCATGCTAGTCTTTCCCTGTCAGGAGACACAGGCAAGTAGCTGTGGGCCTCAGGAAGCTGCATCCAATGAGTGCTGTGTGCTTGTGTTTGTGTTTGCACCAACCTCATGTGCTGACAGAGCTCTGGAGTGTGAGGGCAAGTCCATGTTCCATTCGCTCCATTCTTTTCTGCCCAGGGCTTCCTGCTCCTTGTGGCTGCCATCACCTCCATGTTGCAAATAAGTTTTCTCCTCCCTTCTGTCAATCTCACAGGCTCTCAAACTCAGGAAATGCAGGTCCTTTGAAACCTGCTTACTAGGAACTAAGGGTGACCAATACACCTAACAGAGGCTTGTCTCCTGTGACCTGCTCCTTTCTATATGACTCCATTAGAAAAGGATGCAGTAAGCACCTACAAAGGCTATGATGAGAAGAATTCGAAACTCTGTGAAAAACCACTCTCTATGGCCATGCAGGCTTCTCAAGATAAATATCCACAAGTGTAGATCCATCATCTCGCTTATTTGTATGTTTTCCATTCTGTGCATGGGTTGTTAGTGGATGTGTGTTGAGAGAAGTGTGTATGGATGGACGCATGGATGGATGGATGGATATATTTGTTTACGTGCCTGTGTGTGTGTAAATACTGCTACGTTCAGTTATAATTAGATAAAGACACATTATGCATAACTCACCTTTCATTGATCACGTGCCTCCAGGTTCGTGCCTGATAATTCATTAGTGGGTGGACTAGAGGATGATAAAAGAACACAGTCAGACAGGAGACACAGATTCAAGATTTACTTTCTGGAAAAACTTCGCTCTCATTACTCTGCACATAAACCAGTTAGTTCTGACTATTCAGGTGTAAAGATTGCTATTCAGTTCGAAATGTCATTTTTATTAGAAAGGAGGATTTATATGATGGCCACCAACATCTTAGGCTGGGGAAAATAGCAATGCTTCCAGATTTAAGTAAACCTCTTTATTACGACCTCAGTCCCAATGCGTGACAGCCTTTGTTTGGCAGTTATTTCAAACTAAACATTTGTGTGGAGGTAGTCAGCCGTCTTATTTCATTGAATGTCCTGTTTCAAAGGCCCTCCATTACTTCCTTACTTTCCACCAGAATGGGTGGCTCCACAACCCCCACAAAGAGTCAAGTAACTACAGGTCAGCTGACACAATCCAATAGGCGGTGATTTGGGGTTTGGGCTCAGCCTCCGTGGTAGCAGGGATTCTGGAGGTGGAGAACACCTCCAGAAGCCTCTTAGCTCTGTTGCTTTCTACTGAGCCACACAGTTCCATATGCACTCCTACCTCCTCCTACTTCAAACAGGATTCTCTCTTCCCTCGGTACACTCTGCTATATCTCACTTTTAAGAAAATCAAGAGTTTAAGGCATTTGACTACTACTAACAAATGGTGAAAAGACAATGTTAACAGACAGAAGCCTCTCTCTTTGGTCTGTTTTTTTTTTTTTAATTTTTATTATACTTTTATGTTCTAGGGTACATGTGTGCACAATGTGAGGTTTGTCATATGTATACACATGTACCTTGTTAATGTACTTCACCCATTAACTCAATCATTCGTTAGGTATATCTCCTAATGCTATCCTCACTCCCCACCCAACAGCAGGCCCCTGGTGTGTGATGCTTACCATACAAAGAACACAAACAAATTTACAAGAAAGAAACAAACAACCCCATCAAAAAGGAGTTGAAGGATGAACAGACACTCCTGTTTCTTTTTTCCTAAACAACTGTAAAACTTTGGAAGTTATCTATCGTGATACATTGAGATGATAAAGCAACTGTGTCAAACACACTCTCTATTGTGAACACACTTCTAAGGAGTGAATCCCACCTAATCCCAGAGTCTTTCTCTGTCACTGTTTTATATGTGTGTGTGTGTGTGTGTGTATATCTCTTTTCTTTTCTTTCTTTTTTTTTTTTTTGTTAGAGCAAGATTCATTCCTGCCCAGGTGGAATGCAGTGGCATGGTCTCAGCTCACTGCACAACCTGCACCACCCCAGGTTCAAGCAATGCTCCTCCTCAGCCTCCCGAGTAGCTGGGATTGAAACACCTGCCACCATAGTTGGATAGTTATTTGTAGTTTTAGTAGAGACGTGGTTTCACCAGGTTTGCCAGCCTGGTCTCGAACTCCAGACCTCAGGGTATCTGCCTGCCTCGGACTCCCAAAGTGCTCAGATTACAGGTGTGAAACACTGCACCTGGCCAAATGTGTACATTTCTTATAACTCACCTGTCACTGGGGCTTCTCTCAATGTTGGCTCCTCAGGGCATTCGGATCGGGACTAAAGGACAAATATGGCCAGAGTCAGACACAATGCGTTATCCTAATGTTTTACAGCAAATAGCTACGTTAGTCTACATGTATGTACATAACTAAATTGACCCGGGATGGCATTTGTTTTTAATTGAAATGGAGTTTTATATGCCAACAGTGAGTATCTTAGGCTGTGAACATAGCAACGCCTCCAGATTAAGTAAGGGTATCTACACCTCAGTATTGCCATGGCACCCATTTCTGGAAGCATTTAATTCAGTTCAAATTCAGTTTTGGCAAAGTCCCAACTTAGCCCATAATCCCATCTGTGTTCCCCATTCTCACCTTCACCTCCAATCACCTCCCTCACTTCCACCCATCCTAGTTGTCTTTCCTGACCAAGGGTTGTGGCCAGTAATTAAGGCCTCCAGCCAAGGCTCCATCCCATGTGAGGGTGGGTGGGCCAAAGGCAGTCAGCCTCACATAAAAACCCAGAGCTCTGGAGGGTGTGAAGCTAATTCCAGGGTTATTAGATCTGTTCTTTTTTTTTTTTTTTTGCAGGGGTTTCTCAGTCTTTGTCCTCCTATCTCCTTCTGCTCCAAGCAGGTCGCTTCTCCTTGGTCACGCTACTGAGTACATTCTCACTCTCACAGAAAGGAAATGTAACCAAACACTAACATAAAACCTCCTCTGTGAGTTCCTCCCCATTTCCTACCTCCATCAAAAACAAAGAATATTCCATAGAAAGCTCATTCTGAGAGGAATCCAGAAATAGTTTCCGGGGAATTCCTTGTTCCCATGGATGCTTGTGACAGTCAACAGCCCCAGCTCAATCACTGTTGTATGAATGCATGTATGTATGTGTTTGTATATGTAGATACATGTATAACTGTATTCCCTTTATATCACATGTTGCACTGGCCAGCCTGCTAAAGATACTCTCAATTCACACCTAGGGCAGTGCCAAAGAAGTTAAAATGTACATAGTAAGACAACATGTAACTTCCTAGAATGCTTAACATTTCAGTTCATAATAGTTCCAACTGCTTTTGTTTTTGTTTTTCTTTTTGTGTTTGTTGTTGTTTTGTGGTTGTTTTTTGACACACAGTCTTGCTCTGTCACCCAAGCTGGGTGCAGTATCACCGATCTTGGCTCACTGCAACCTCTGCCTCCCAGGATCAAGCAGTTCTCCTGCCTCAGTCTCCGAGGAGCAGGAACTGCAGGCACTCACCACCATGCGTGGCTAATTTTTGCATTTTTAGTAGAGACGGAGTTTCACCACATTGGCCAGGCTGGCCTTGAGGCCTCCTGATCTCGTTATCCACCCACCCCTGGCCTCCCAAAGTGCTGGGAGTACAGGCATTAGCGACCACACCTGACCTTCCAACTACTTTTCAACCTCTAAACTGCCTTACCCTTTAGAAGTCATGTGTGTGTATTTGGTTCTTTGGAATCTGCCACGCCATTTACCCTACACTTCATACTTTACAACTATCTAAGACTCACTGACTCAAGAGTTCACCAAAACTCTCTATCACTGGAGCTGGCCAATGCCAGAGCCATGTGATCTTTTTGTGGAGTGAATTTCTTTTGAATTCAACTCCACTCTCTGGGCATTCTCCCTCTAATCCCATCTGGCCACTTCCTGGATCTCTCCATCACCTCTTTCCTTTCACCCATCATGCCTAGTCTTTCCCTGGCCAAGAGACACAGGCAAGTAGCTGTGGGCCTCAAGGAAAAGAGCTGCATCCCAATGAGGTGCTGTGCTTGTGCTTGTGTTTTAGCACCAATCTCATGTGCTGACAGAGCTCTGGAGTGTGAGGGCAAGTCCATGTTCCATTCGCTCCATTCTTTTCACCCAGAGCTTCACTGCTCCTTGTTGGCTGCCATCTCCTCCATGTTGCAAATAGGATTTTCTCCTCCCTTCTGTATCCAATCTCTGGCTCTCAAACTCAAGAAATCTAGTCCTTCAGAACCTGCTTACTAGGAACTAAGGGTGACAAATACACTAACAGGAAGCAGCAGCTCTCCTGTGACCTGCTCCTTTCTATATGACTCCATTAGAAAAAGGATCAATGTTACACAAAGGCTATGATGAGAAGAATTCAAAACCCTGTGAAAAACCACTCTGGCCATGCCACAGGCTTCTCAAGAATAGGCTCACGGGTGTCCGGTCTGTCTCTGTCTCCTTTGTGTTTCCCATTCTGTGTAGGTTGTTAGTGGATTGTGTGTTGAGAGAAGTGTGTATGGATGGGCGCATGGATGGATGGATGGATATGTTTGTTTGTATTGCCTGTGTGAATATTTCTATGCTCAGTTATAATTTAGATAAATAAAGACACATGTGTGCATAACTCACCTTTCATTGATACGTGCCTCCAGGTTCATGCCTGATAATTCATTTGTGGTGCACTAGAGGGAGTGATAAAAAGAACACAGTCAGACAGAGACACAATTCTAAATTCACTTTTCTGGAAAAACATAGCACCATTACTCTGCACATAAACCAGTTAAGTTCTGACTATTCATGTTTATAGGACTATTTGGTTCTGAAATGTCATTTTTTTATTAGAAAGGAGGAATTATATGACGTACAACATCTTAGGCTGGGGAAAATGGCAATACTCCCCAGATTTAAATAAACCTCTTTATTATGACCTCAGTCCCAATGCGTGACAGCCTTTGTTTGGCAGTTATTTCAAACTAAACTTTAGGTGAAGTTGTCAGTCCTCTTATTTCATTGAGCGATATGTTTCAAGGCCCTCCATCACCTCCTTACTTTCACCCAGAATGGGTGGCTCCCCAACCCACAAAGAGTCAAGTAACTACAGTTCTGACTTCAGAAGCACAATCCAATAGGACAGTGATTTGAGGTTTGGAGCTCCGACACTCCGTGGTAGCGAGTTCCGGAGGAGTGGGGAGAACACCTCCAAGGCTCTTAGCTCTGTTGTTTCCTGCTGAGGGCTTCACAGTTCCCTGTGCACTCTACCTCCTCTCGCTCAAATAGGATTCTCTCTTCCCTCGGCCCACTTGTCTGCTGTCATATCTCATACACAGAAAATCAGTTTCCAAGGCATTTCTGCTACTAACAAATGGTGAAAACACAGTAACAGACAAGACCCTCTCTCTATAGTCTGTTTCTTTTTTTCTAAACAATTGTAAAAATGTGGAAGTTATCTATACGTGATGCAGTGAGATGATAAAGAAAGAAACTGTTTCAGAGACACTCTGTGTTATCCTGAACACTTCTGAGAGGGAATCTCACTAATCTCAGTCTCCGTCTCTATCACTGTTTGTGTGTGTGTGTGTGTGTGTGTGTGTGTACACATCTTATTTATTTATTTATTTATTGCGATAGAAGTTTCGCTCCAGGCTGGAATGCAGCGCGCATGGTCACCAATCACCCTGGCCCTCCACCTCCTCCAGTTCAAGCGATTCTCTTGCCTTAGCCTCCCAAGTAGCTGGGATTAGAGGCACCTGCCACAGCAACCTGGCCAGTTGTTATACTTTTTAGTAGAGATGGGGGTTTCACCATGGCGCCAGCCTGGTCTCGAACACCTAGCCTCAGGGGATCTGTCTGCCCGGCCTCCCAAAGTGCTCAGATTACAGGTGTGAACTATTGCCTGGCCAGTACATCTCTTATAACTCACCTGTCACTGGGACTTCTCTCAATGATGACTCCCTCCAGGGCATTCGGATCAGGACTAAGGGACAAATATGGTCAGAGTGAGAGACGAAGGCGCATAATTCTAATGTTTTGCAACAAATAGCCAGTTAGTCTATGCTTCTTCCCCAGTTACACTATAATTATTCACATGTATGTATATCACTAAATTGACCTGGGATGGCATTTGTTTTTTATTAGAAATGAGGTTTTATATGTCAACAGTGAGTATCTTAGGCTGTGAACATAGTAATACATCCAGATTAAGTAAAGAATATCTACACCTCAATGTGTAGCAACATTTCTGGAGAGCATTTAATTCAGTTCAAATTTGGTTAAATGAAATCCCCTTCTCCACTTAATGCATCTGAGTTCCTCATTCTCTATCACCTCAATCACATATCACTTCCCACCCACACCTGAATTGTGGCACCACAGCCAGGGTTGTGGCCCGAAGTAGTTACGGGCCTCAGGCTTAGGGCTCCATCCCATGTGAGGGTGGGTTGCTGGGCCAAGGCAGTCAGCCTCACATAAAAGGCAGAGCTCTGGAGGGGTGTGAAATAATTCAAGGGTTATTAGATCTGTTCTTTTCTCTGGCACAGCATTCTCTGGATCTTTGTCCTCCTATCTCCTTCTCGCTCCAAGCAGGATTCGCCTCTCCACTTAGTCCCACGCTTCTAGTACAGTCTTATTCTCACAGAAAGGAAATGCAGACAAACACTAACATAAAGAGCCTCCCTCTGCGAGTTCCTCCCCATTTTCCTACCTCCATCCAAAAAACAAAGGAATATTCCATACAAAGCTCATTCTGAGAGGACTCCAGAAATAGTTTCCAGAGACTCCTCATTCCCATGGATGCTTGTGACAGTCAACAGCCCAACTCAATCTCTCTTGTGTGTATGAATGCATGTATGTGTTGAAGTATGTGCATAGATACATGTATAGCTTTGTATTTCTTTACATCACATGTAGTACTGGCCAGCCTACTGAAGATGCTCTCGATTCACACCTAGGGCAGTGCCAGAACTTGGAAATGTATATACTAATACAACATGTAACTTCACAAACCGCGTTTCAGTTCAAAATAGTTCCAAGTGCTTTTGTTTTGTTTTTCTGTTTTTGTTTGCTTTTTTTTTTTTTCTTGTTTGTTTTTTTGAGACAAAGTCTCACTCTGTCTCCAGTTGGAGTGCAGTGGCGCGATCTCAGCTCACTGCAACCTCTGCCCTCCAGGTTCAAGCAGTTCTCCTGCCTCAGTCTCGAGTAGCCAGGGACTGCCCAGGTGCCCACCACCATGCCGGCTAATTTTTGTATTTTTAAAAGTAGAGACAGGTCTCTCACCATGTTAGCCAGAGTGGGCCTTGAACTCCCTGATCCTGTTACCCACCCGCCCTGGCCTCCCAAAGTGCTAAGACTACAGGCGTGAGCCACCCCGTGCCCCAACCTTCCAAGTACTTTTCAACCTGTAAACTGCCTTACCCTTACAGAAGTCATGTGTGTATTTGGTTCTTTGGAATCTGCCATGCCATTTTACCTACACATCATACTTTATACGACTACAGCACATACTTTACACCTCTCTAAGACTCACCGCTCAGAGTTCACCAAAACTCTCTATCACTGGAGCTGGCCAATGCACAACAGCCTTTTGTGGGTGAATTTCTTTTGAATTCAACTCCACTCTCTAGGCATTCCTCCCTCTAATCCATCTACGGCCCCTTGCGGATCTCTCCATCACCTCTTTCCTTTCACCCATCGCCACTTTAGTCTTTCCTGTCCAGGAGACAAAGGCAAGTAGCTGTGGGCCTCAGGAGAGGAAGGAGCTGCATCAATGAGGAGTGCTGTGCTTGTGTTTGTGTTTTAGCACCAACCTCATGTGCTGACAGAGCTCTGGAGTGTGAGGGCAAGTCCATGTTCCATTAGCTCCATTCTTTCTGCCCAGGGCTCACTGCTCCTTGTCCGGCTGCCATCACCTCCATGTTGCAATCAGTTTTCTCCTCCCCTTCCTGTCAATCTCACAGGCTCTCAAACTCAGGAAATCTGAGTCCTTTAAGAATACTACTTACAAAGACAAGGGTAACTAAATACACACTAACAGGAAGCAGCTCTCCTGTGACCTGCTCCTTTCTATATGACTCCATTAGAAAAGGATGCAATGTTACCTACAAAGGCTATGAAGAAAAATTCAAAACCCTGCTTGAAAAACCACTCTCTGTAGCCCATGCAGGCTATAGAATAAACTCCACAAATGTCCAAAGTCATCTGTCTCTCCTTGCTGTACATTTCCATTGTGTGCATGGGTTGTTAGTGGATGTGTGTTGAGAGAAGTGTGTATGGAGGGACGCATGGATGGATGGATGGATGTGTTGTTTACGTGCCTGTGTGTGTAAGCGTCTATGCTCAGTTATAATTAAATAAAGAACACATGTGCCTGCCTGCTTTCACCTTTCATTGATCGCGTGCCTCCCAGGTTCGGTGCTGATAATAATATGAATTCATTTGTGGGTGGACTGGAAGATGATAAAAGAGAACACAGTCAGACAGGAGACACAATTCAAAATTCACTCTTCTGGTAAAACTCCTTTCATTATCTTTGCAGATAAACCAGTTAGAGTTCATTTATTCTGGTGTATGGCACTGTTTGAGTTCTAAATGTCATTTTATTAGAAGGGAGGATTTATACGATGGCAATCAACATCTTAGGCTAGGGAATATCATAATGCTTCCAGATTTAAATAAACCTCTTTGTTATGTCCTCAGTCAGTGCTGACAGCCTGTGTGGTAGGATTATTTCAAGCAAACGCGCAGGTGGTAGTCAGCCCTCTCACTCCACTAAATGTGCTGCCTCGAGAGCCCTCCATTATACTCCTTTACTTGACCGTCTCTCCTGGTCCACAAGTAGGTAAAGTAACTGCAGGTCTGGAGTCAAAGGACACAATCCAGCCAGTGGTGTTTGGAGTCTGCAGTATCACCCTGTGTTGTGGCGAGTTTCTGCAGGTCAAAAGCATTTCTAGCGTTGTTAGCCTTTTCTCTTCTCCGGTCTTCTACTCTCTGTCCCTGCTATCCTTTTCTGTTTCAAAGAGAGGGATTCTCTGCTGTCTTCAGCCATTATAATAAGGTCTCACACTTGCAGGTGATCTAAAGACGTTATTTTTGATTGTACTCAGAATATCAAACAGACTAGTATTGAAAGAAATCATTCTTCCTTCTTATGTGAACTTCATCTTTTATCTAAATTCATTCAAGAAGGCATAAAGAGGCACCTTCATTTTCCTATAGTGAGATCGTACTTAGACACGTGTAACAGTTTTTGTTTTTCCATTAATGCCCTGGTCATCTTTTATCTAAATTCATTCAAGAAGGCATAAAGGCACCTTCATTTCCTATAGTGAGATCATGTAGACACGTGTAACAGTTTTTTGTTTTTCCATTAATGCCCTTGAACCTTCCCTAATCTCAACCTGTATATTTCTCTGCAGTACCTGTGGGTGCATGCCTTGATTTAATATGAATGCATATAGGTATATGTAAATGGTATATAATTGTTTCTTTCTATGCTCATATATCCTGATATCTATATTGATTGGTTTCTGTCTCGCAGTTCACCAATAGCTCCATTCCAGGGTACTGATTTGAATTTAGACTTGGCAGTGCTACAGAATTTACATATATATATATATAGTCCAACACCAATATGACATCCTAGACTTCACTTTCAGGTTTCAATTACTCACAAGTGAAGGTTAGTTGCTACAATTGAATGAAGCACAAAGTAAGCATTTGGGGGTTTACTTTAATTCAAATTCAGCTGCAGTTTCTATGTACAAATTCCTTTGACTTCATCTCATTTCCTCATACTAAAGTCCCTTCATCGGTGCCCTGTTTTCACCATCACAGGTGTCTTCTCTGCTCTCACACAGGGTCAGGAAACTGCTCCGTACAATGTGGTGATGGGTGTGTGCTTGTATTGTTAGCCTCACATGGTGGTAGAGCTCTGGGTGTGAGGAACCCTGCCAGGCCATTAGCTCTGTTGTTTTCCCCTCACGGCTCCACTGCCCCTGCCCACTGCTACTTGCTGATTGCTCTGCATAGGATTTTCTTCCCTTGGCCCACTCTAGCATGTCTCATACACAGGAAATCTGACTTTCCCAAGTATGTGCCTGCTACTAAGGGTGACAAGACAATAACAAGAAGTTTCCCTTTTTTGACCTGTTCCTTTTTATCCAATTTAATCAAAAAGTTGGATAAGAGAACTGCAGGGCCTATAGTGAGGAGATTTATAAACAGTGTAAAAGACATTCTGTATGGTAATCTTCATCTTTCTCTCTGTTGTTTCTCTCTCTCTTTTCTCTCTCGCTCTCTCCCTGTTTCTCTCTCTCTCCCTGTGTTTGTGTGTCTAGATAGAAGTATGCATATATATTTCTTTACATACATATTTCTTTACATATCTGTGTATATGTATGTTATAATTCACATTTCATTGGTGGTTGTATCATAGGTTACTGATGTCAATTCATCTGTATGCAGGCTAAAGGAATATGAAAGTAGATAGTTGGACACACATGTAATTCTAAACTTACTTTTTGGATCAAACAGCTACAGTTACTCTATAATGTACTATCTGGTTGATATTTAAATATTCATGTGTATTCACTAATTCGAACTAGATGTATCTTTTTTTTTTTTTTTGGCAGAGTCTCACTCTCACGGAGGCTGGAGTGTGGGGTGATCTTGGCTCACTGCAACCTCTGCCTCCCAGGTTCAAGCAATTCTCCTGCCTCAGCCTCCTGAGTAGATGGGATTACAGGCATGCACCACCATGCCTGTCTAATTTTTGTATTTTTAGTAGACACAGGGTTTTGCCACGTTGGTCAGGCTGGTCTCAAATTCCTGGCCTCAACTGATCTAGCTGTCTTGGCCTCCCAAAGTGCTGGGATTACAGATATGAGCGACCATGCCTCCCCAGTGGCATTTATTTCTAATGTAACTGCAGTCTGTAAGGAAAAATGCCTCTTACCCCATCTAAATTTTTGATTCCTAAATCCCTCTGTCACTTCCTTACTTTCACCCATCATGGCTGTCGTTCCTGCCCAGAAGATACGACCATGTAGCTGTAGGCCTGAGTCAGGAACTCCCTACAGATTATTGTGGGTCTGGGTTTGGTTTGGGGCACCAGCCTTACATGGTGGTAGAACTCTAGAGGGTGAGGAGCTCATTAAGGTTTCATGAGCTCTGCTCTTTTTGATGAGTGCTTCACTCCTCCCTGTCACCTGGTACCTCCCCATTGTCCAAATAGGATTCTCTCTCCCTTTGGCCCACTCTAGCAGTAGTAGAGTTTCATAAATGGGAAACCTCAAAGGTTCCTAAGGGACTGAATACTAATAACTTAGGGTGACAAATATACTAAGAGGAAGAAGCATCCCTTTCACAACTTCTTCCTCTTTCATCCAATTTGGTCTCAAAAAAAAATAGAAAGTTATCTATAGATCCTACAGTGAGAAGATTTAGACATAGTGTCAAAGATACTCTGTATTTCCAAGGATATGCCTGACAGTGAATTTTACAAATACCAACTTCTCTTTCATTGTTTTATGTTTCTGTGTGTGTATGTGTATGCATGTGTGTATGTTGATAGAAGTATGTATTTATGTTTATATATGTATATATACACTTACATGTATATAAATCTTTGTTTTTAACTCACATGTCATGGGTGGCTCTATCATAGGTTACTACTGTCAACTCAGTTGGCTGTGGGCTGAGGAAGTATAAAAGCATATTATTCAGATAGAAACATAATTTGGACTTACACTTTTGGTCAAATAGCTGCCTTTACTCTAGACATGAGTCTACCTGCCAAGGAATGCCAAAGATTGCCAGCAACCAGCAAAAGCTAACAAAGAGGTATCAAACAGATTCTTCTTTATAGCCCTCATAAAAAGCCAACCCTACTGACAACCTCGATTTCAGATTTCTAGTCTCCAGGACTATGAGCAGATTAATTTTCGTTTAAGCCACTTGGTTTGTGCTACTTTGTTAAAGCAGCCCTAGAAACTGATATAGCCCAACCTGGCAGAGTCTCATACACAGGCAATCCAACAGGTTTCTAAAAGTTTTGGCTACTAGTCAACTCAGCTAGGGAGAAGAAGTAGACTTCTTGTGATCTATTTGTCTTGTATCCGACTAGACCCAAAAAGAAAAGGATGTTACATACAGAAGCTGAAACTACTAGTACTTTAGAAACAGTGTCCAAAAAACTCTATATTTAACATTTGTTAGCTTACTTAAGACCTAACTTTTTAGAAAGAATTTTAGAATCAGTGTCCAGAAAACTATTTTCCCATGAATAATTCTGAGACTGAATTTCACAAACCTGAATTCCTCCCATCTCCAATATATATTATGACATCACCTTTCATTGTTGACTCCAGCACAGATTTCTGATGTCAATTCATTGGGATCAGTGCAAAGGATTGAAAGGTAACTAGTAAGAAACAACGTAAATTCATACACTACTTTTTTTTTTGGTTCAAACTGGCTATGACTGCGCTACAAATCACAATGTGTTGTCCCTAAAAATTCTCATGTGACTCTGTTCTTTGGCACCTGGTACTTCATTTTTCTCTAGAAAGAGGTCTTTATGTGTTGGTAATAAAAATTGTTTAGGACTCTCAAAAAAGTTTAATGAATCAAGATTTAAATACAATTCTTTCTTACTGAATCCGGTCATCGTGTGTGACAGCAAATTTAACTTAAATGTGTTTCAAAAGTATGTTTCATTTGTAGGCACACGTTGTTCTTGCCCATTTTGATTTCCTAATTCTCAAGTCCCTCCACCACCTTCATGCTCTTCGTGAGTCGCAGATATCTTTGCTTCCCCTCAAATAGGATCAAGGGACTAAACCTCAGGCAGGGGTTCCATCCAATGTGATGATGGCTTTGAGTTTGGGGTACCAGCTCTGAAGGGTGAGGGGCAGATATAGGGTCTCTTAGCTCCTTTCTTTCTGCTGAGGGCTCCTCTGCTGCCTATCCAATGCTACCACCTTCTTTCTCCAAGGAGGATTCTCTCCTCTCTTGGATTGCTCTTGAGAGAGTCTCATACACAGGCATTTTGATAGTTTCCTAAGGGTTTTGGCTGCTAATGACTAAGGGTCACAAACAATCTTTGAGTACCAAGTGTCCCTCTTCTGACCTGATCTTATTTTTTCCACTCTGTTTCAAAAACAATGTTACCTAAAGATGCTTAAAGTCTCTTATAGAAAGCTGTTATTACCATCGACGCTCCCCATATTTTCCACCACTTAGATCAGTCAACTTACCCATTGTGGTCGTAGCTGTCAGAGCATACAGTAGGATCTGTTAATGAATCCATAACTCTACCAAAGAGTAAAAAGCACACACAAAAAATAAAGTCAGATATTCTGGAAGGCAATCAGGATGTTAATCTCGACAGTATTTCAGGACATGAAAAATAAAATCAGAGGAATTTTGACAAGAACTAAAGAAACAATTTCATGGTACAGTATTAGTACTTCTGAGAGAGTGCGTGTGTATGTGTGCGTGTGTGTGTGTGTGTGTGTGAGAGAGAGAGAGAGAGAGAGAGAGAGAGAGAGAAAGGACACAGAAAAAAGAAAGAAAATGTAAGAATAATGAATGTTTTGATATCAATGGCTAGTTCCCGCTCATCCTTGGTAGGAAATAAACAAGTAGGTTAAGTCAAGCACAGCCTAAATTATGTTTAAGACATTTTGTGAACTTAAAGTAGATATGTTTAGAATGATTTTGTTTTCTATTTGTCTGGATTCATTTTTTTAAGTTATATGGCTATATTTTACAAAATCAAGACTTCCTAGAACCGAAACCCCTGGCTTGGCTAATTTAATCTCTCTACAACTTTATTTCCTCATCTGCAAGTTACGACACATGCAAAATACACTCCACTCTGTCGGATTCATAAAACCATGCTGAATATTCAGCATTTTGCAAATATTGGTTTTTAGACAACCTGCTCTCTATACCATATATTATGCCATAAAATTCAGTATGTGGCAATATAAACTGATACATACTTTAGTATCAAATACACAAACATTCTCATCAAAGTAATACACTCCCCAGACTCAAGGGTGTTAACTAGCACACTTTTGATTTTCTAACTTTTTTCAAATGTTTAAATAAGTTTAAACAGTTGCACACATTTTTGCTGCTGATAAAAAAACTAGGATTCTCTGGAAGTGCTGAGGTTTCACTAGCAATGTTTCAGGTGTTAATTGAGGCGGGACGCTGAAGCCTTTCCGGTGGCCATCTCTGTCATTGGCTTCCCGAGCTGGTGCACCCAACTCTGATCCCAGACACAGCATTCACCATTGGAAACCAGCCCTCCTGTTAGGAAAGAGTAGAGTGACCAGTATAGCCATGTTATTACACACGCACACAAAATGTCATACTTTGAGGACATTACCAGGCATAGAGACTGAGGGTTTGTTTTATTTTTTAAATGTTTTCTATTTCTATTGTTTTTCTATCTGAGTATTTTTCCTATTTCTATTTCCATTTGCTGGGTCTGAGACAGCAGCAAATTCCGCCTTCCACGGGGGTTATATAGCTCATCTGCAGTAGGAGTAGAAATATCAAAGCTCTCAGTCTACCACGCCCCTTGCTCCAGAGACATGGCCCAAGCAGATCTTTGGGCAGACAGGGGCAGCCCAAGGCAGAGCTGGGTTTCTGGGAGTTTCTCCTGTAAGCCGGACCTGCTTACCTGTGGGGCCAGACTGCTTCGGGCGCCACGGCCGCTCAAGCGCTGGTCAGTTCAGCTGCTAGAATAACACAAGTCTCCAGGTCTTGTGTCTTCGTCTAACATTCTCTAAGAGGAGAAATTTAATCAAGATCCCAGTTTTCTCTCTGTTGCCTTTCAGGATTAGCAAACTTTCCTTTTTTCATTTTTTTAGTTCCCAAAATAAAGCTCATTAAGTAGTCTTTACCCAATTCCTGGCAAGTAACAAGGTTGCTGCTATTTTGGCCCTATACCACTGGTTGTCCCCAGTACCTGAGAGTAAGGGGACTCTGGAAAGGAATGACAATTAGTGTTTCCCCTTTGGGTGGAAGCAAACTTTCCCTGTCTATGGGCCCCAGAGACCACCGTCCTAGTTCCCCCACCAAAAACTTTACATGATTTTTAGTCACAGTGAGGATGAGGGGACAACAGAGGGCAGAGGATGGGGTGGGACTCACTGCTCAAGAGACCCTCACCTCCTAAGTCTTTGCCTCGTATTGAGAATAAGTCAGTTCTGTAGTAAGAACTCTGTGTCCATGGCAACCCCAAACAGAATCCTGGTGCTCTTGTGATTCTTACAGAGAGGTGGGCATAGAAACGAGCTTACAGCCCAAGACTGCAGAGACTTAAAAACTGTGCTGTTTCTGCCAGCATACATACAGATACTCATTAAAGACAAAGGGGAGAAGGGCACGCAGAGGGTGGGAGTGCAGAATGTACCAAGGCAAAGACCACAGGATAACCTCAGAGTAAGACTATCTCTCAATTATTTCAATAACTTTTGTGCAATGAGGGGATTCTTCTCATTTCTCTGATGAAGTTTACATCAGAATGTTCAGCTTCCTTTGCAGGTTAGAGAGAGAGAATAACCAGAGGGGCTCAGTTATTCTCTCTGAATAACTATGTTTGTCTAGTGTTTTCTAGACAATATTAAATTTCCGCGAAATAGACAAGGTTGATAGGACTTGGGGGGATACTTCATCGACTCAGCTTTCATTTATATGATAATAAAATAAGTTGTCATTTAAAACCTACTCTATATTCTAGCTAGAAGAGGATTTTGAATGTTCTTACTTCAAAGAAGTAATGTTAAATGTTTAAGGCAATGGATATGCCTAATTACCCTGATTAGATCATTTATGCAAGGTAAAAGGTACTGAAACATCACATTGTACCTCATAAATACGTACAATTTATTATGTGTGTCAATTAAGAATTTTGGTATAAGAAAAAAGGAAATAGGGAGCCAGGCGCGGTGGCTCCAGACGCCTGTAATCTACTTTGGGAGGCCCAGGCGGGGGCGGATCTGAGGTCAGGATGTCAGAGACTATCTGTGCTCACCGATAAAAAACCTGTCTCTACTAAAAAATACAAAAAAATTAGCCAGGCCGTGGTGACGGCCTGTAGTCCCAGCTACTCGGAGAATGAGGCAGGAGGAATGGGGCAGACCCGGGAGGCGGAGCTTACAGTGACCTGAGATCGCACCACTGCACTCCAGCCTGGGTGACAGAGGAAGACTCCATCTCAAAAAAAAAAAAAAAAAAAAAAAAAACTGCAATTGTAAGAAAACAATCCAACTTTTGCAAAAAATGGGCAAAATAACTGAACAGATACTTCACTAATAAGATTTACAACTGGCAAATAGCAAATGAAAAATGGTCATCATCACTGGCTATTAGAGAAGTGATTAAAACTACAACCAATAAGAGAAACTACTAGATACCTATTAGAATATCTAACATTAGAAAGATGGCATGTTGACAGAGAGCAATGGTCATCATCACTAGCTATTAGAGAAATGCAGATTAAAACTACAATAAGAAACTACTAGATACCTATTAGAATATCTAACATTAGAAAGATGGCATGTTGACAAACAGAGAGAGAAACTGAAAGTCTCATACAATGCCAGGAATGTAAAGTGCTAGATCCACTTTGGAAAACAGTTTGGCAGTTTCTTAAGAAGTTAATTAGGTCTTCCAGTTCCCATTCCAACATGTAAAGAACTTGGAAGTCATCACTCCCATCTTCAAAACAGAAAAAAAGATAATCAAACTGAAAATCAACAACTTTTCTTAGATCTGCCTGAGAATAGAGGTCACAGGGCAAACCACTTCCTCAGAAACTGGAGAGATGGGTGAATATAGAAAATCACAGTTTACCTGAGAGCAGAAGCCACAGAGCCAGTAATTGGTAGGAACACACAAATGGTAATCAATCAATTACTGGTGGCTGAGTGTGGACTAGCTTGAGAGTTAAAAACTTGTTGGCGTCCTGCCTTTGGGGCCCCTTATACTTTCATGAATTTTACTTCCAGAAACCCCGCCAGGTTCTCATGATGAAGGTTGAAGAAAATTTCCTCAGGCCCTTTATACAAGGAAAAGAGAAAAGCAACCATTTCAAAATACACCCTAATTGGGGGACAGAGAGAGTGAGTGGGTCTAACAACCATTTTGAAATATGCCCAAAGCATTCTGTTCTCTGTGTGAAAGACCTGCTCTAAAGAAAAACTGCTTCATCAGGGCCTTGTCTGACATAGGGGAAAAGCAGTCAGACAACTCTGAACCCCTCTAGCTTTCCTGTCCCACATAAAAGGAGAGGGGGGGAAAAAAAGAAAAAGAAATCATTACTAATTCAATGTAACAAAAATGTACACCTATGTTTTTGTCTAAGAGCATAATTCAGGGTCTCACATTTAGATATTTCTTCCATTTGAGGTTAATTTTTCTGTACAATGTGAGAAAGAGAGCTAACTTCATTCATTTGTATGTGGATATCCAGTTGTTCCAGCACCACTTGCTGAAGACTGTTCTTTTCCACTGAATGGTCTTGGTACCCTTGTGGAGAATCAATTGACCTTAAACGTATGGATTTACTTCTGGACTCTCAATTCTATTCCATTGATCTACGTATCGATCCTGATTCTAGTACTACACAATTTTAACCACTATAGCTTTATAGTAAGGTTTGAAATAATAAAGTGTGGACTCTGCAACTTCATTGCTCTTCTTCAAGATTGTGTTGCTTATTCAGAGTCCCTTGCATTTTCAAATGAATCTTAGATCAGCAAGTCAATTTCTGCAAAAAGAGAAGCTAGGATTTTGATAGGAACTGACTTGAATATGTAGATCAATTTGTGGAGTACTGTCATCTTAATAGTAATGTCTTCCATTCAATAAATACAGAATGTGTATCCATATAGTTAGGTCTTAATCACTTTCAATAATGTTGTGTAGTCTTACATTCCTTTTGTTTGTCTTGTTTTTAATGCTATTGTAAATAAAATTACTTTCTTAATTTCATTTTGAGCCGACTCATTGCTAGTGTTTCTAAATATAACTGATTTTTTGCACATTGATCTTGTATCTTTTGTGAACTCAATTGTTGCTCCAGCAGGTTTGCTGTTGTTGTTGTAGGTTCTTTAGATTTTCTATATACAACATTATTTATCTGCAAAAAATAGAGTTTGACTTTTTCCATTCCAATCTAGATGCGTTTTCTTTTTTGTAGTTGGTTTTTTTTTTTTTTTTGTCTAATTATCCTGGCTAGAATCTCCAGTACAATGTTGAATAGAAAAAGCAAGCAGGTATCCTTGTCTTGTTC